GGTAATTGAGCAGTTGAGACGCCATCGATAGAATTAAAATTTTACAAACCTTTAAAAAAATATTTCTTAAATAAAAATTATAAAAACTGTTCTAATATTTTGAAAAATTTTTTGAGAATAAAATGTCGGAGGTATATTTAGGAATGATTTCACATGTAGGAAATCTACTACATGTTGTTAATATGCAGTTGTAATAAGAAGAATTTTTTTAATAAAAAAATTTACAAAATTATGCTGCAGCGTTGTTCATCTTAACAGTTTAAAATTGACAAATAATTTTATGGCGCCATTGCTAAAAATATCATATTAAAATATTACTCCAATGAATTTTTAAATGAAGTAAATATTTTTATTAAGACAATTTTAGAATATCAAAATTTGATTTAAATAACTCGATTTACAAATGTATAAATATTATGACCTTGGAACAGATCTCTTCTCTTCTCTTTTCTTCTCAATAAATATCAATTGCCTCATGCCCTCCTACAGGGGAACCTAGATGTGTTAATTCACCAAGAGCAGTGAATTTGAAATTATGAGTGTTTGGAGCCTTCGAATTCAATTGGATGAATTCGGATTTACTCGGGTTAAGAGAGAGTCCGAAGACAGTGCCCTTTTCGTGAATTACATTAACTGCAATTGTCAATTTCACTGCGGGAACCACTTAAGATTCCATCATTACCAAGCATGAAGAGATAGAGTACAAGATGAGTTTATCGATTTTATCATGTCATTGATTCCAAATTATAAGAATTAATAGGGGAAAACTAAGCGATTTACATTCCCGGCCGAAGGCTACGTTGGCAACCCAGCACATGAATAGGTTAAAAAAAAAAATATTTTTTAATTTTGATTTATATATTTTTTTAAAAATATATTGCGCCCTCTCGTGGACTAATACATTTTATGTATTTTATTTTAAATATTTGATTACAACAGAAATAATTTCTTTTATAATATTTTAAATATTGTGTGATAAAATATACTAAAAAATTACGAGATTTTGTAAAAAAAAAAAATTAACTCTAATGAAACAATGATTATAAAATTTGTCATTTATAATTCATAAAAGTAAAAAATGAAATAAACTATTTAGTTATATAAATATAATAAAAAAGAAAATTACATTAGATAATATATTAAAATAGAATAGAACATTTTATTCTAATTTTTTTTAACTCACATTTATACACTATAATAATTAATATATAAATATAATATATAATAATAAACAAATACATATATTAGTAATAAGGGAAAAAATAACAAAAAGAGGGGGGGGGCACAAAAAGTATTGAGGTTAAAACTAATCATCTTGTGGGATGAAACTGCTCATGAAGCAAATGTAATTTGCCTTGTGTATCGCTATGGGGAGTCTTTGTCTTAAGAAGAAGCCTTCGCGAGGTTCACCCGTGAGTTGTCGTATGTGAGAGTCAAGTTCCTTGAAAAAAGAGATAAAGAACATTTCCCAAAATTTGTAAGGGTAGTGGAAATGATGGGAATGATAATGTATTCTTGAGAAATTTCAGAATATTTTGTTATTTTAAGAGACTCCTTTTTCTCAAGAATATTAAAGGTTTGGTTGGATGGTGCAAGTGGATCAATACACGAGTAATCCCAGATCAAGAATTGACCACGCTTCCATGGAATATGAGAAATCCCCTCAGGCCGTTTCTCATCAGATCTGAAAAGACCGGAAGGTTCAAGAATAGAGGGTAAAGCTCTAAGGATGATCGAATTGCATATATTATGTCTAACGATACGACCTTTACACGAACGGCAATGGAGGCTGTGTCTTCCATTACCCAAAACGGCTGAACTGCATCCTGAGCATGTGTGGGGTTGGGTTATTAGGCAGTTTAAACGAATACCAATCACGTGAGTGAGCTCATTTTGGTTCAGTTGTAATTGCAAATTGACTGAGGGAATAGCTTCAAGAAACTTATGGCCTAAACCATTAAGCAGTGAGGAGAATAAAGGACGGTCAGATAATTGCATTCTGGAAAGGAGTGATTCATCGCAGTTTGCAATAATAGGCCTATCCCAGTCCTTCTGCTTATTCGTTTCAGGAAGAGGGTGATCAGCAATAACTCGTGCTTTCCACTCGATTATAGCATCATTATAAGAAGAGTCGGGTTTTATCAAATGAGAATTTATTTTCAATGTTTTTTGTTAAAAGACAACTGGATATGAAAGCTGTTAAGGCAAGATCGAATGGAGATCTGATACCAAGTCCACTATCTTAGTGGGTAAATAGACTTGTCCATCCATTTTCATCGAATATAAGGTTTAGAAAATTTTCGATTAGGACTTTCCCATTTCCATAAACTCCGAGAGGAATGGGGAATTTAAAGATGGGAGTTGAACGAAGCGCATACAGGATACGAGGAATATTGAAAAAATCTTTCAAGAAGAAAAAGGGTTTATGGGAGGGGAGTAGGGAAAATAAATCAGCCAACTCATAAAGTGTTTCAAGTGTGGACTGAAGAGAGGACGATATTGCTATGTTACCCCCAAAGCGGTTTATAATAAAAAAAAATTAAATTTTTAACATTTTATACTTTTTTGTATTTTTTCTACTTTTAAACTGCCCGTTATGTTAATATATTTCAAAAAATAACATGATTAAAAAAAAACATTATAATCTAAAAAAAACAAACTTAAACTAAAATATAATAAAAGTTTTAATTATCTTGGCGCTGAATGGCTTGATATGCAATCTTTGACATATAGCAATTGCAACTAATTGACCATGATAGATAGTTTTGTTTGGTTCTCCAAAGGGTGTTTGCTACTAGAGATCTGCAAAATTAGGTCCAGCCCGTACCCGGCCCAAATTCGTACCCGGCCCAAACCCGTACCCGGCCCAAACCCGGACCCGGCTTGAACCCGGACCGGCCCTATTTTTTAAAAATATTGGGTTCGGACTGGGTCGGGCCTAATATTTTTTTATATATATCTAAATTTATCAATTTTATGTTGAATTTTTTTAATATCTAAAATAAAAATATTTGATTTTATTTATAGAAACTAGACCCCATATAACATATAGCGTTTATTTTGAGTAATTTTAAAAATTAATTTCTATATTTAAATAAATTCGGGCCTGGCCGGCAAATTTTTCCAAAATAAATTTCGGGTTCGGGCCGGGTAAAACTTTTTAAAACAAATTTCGGACCGGACCGGGCTTGAAAAATTAGGCCCGATGCAGATCACCATTTGTTACTAGTGGGATAAATGTAAAATTAATTAATTTCGATATCATATCTCCTTAACTTCTAACCTAACTTGAAAATGTGCATATTCATTAATATGCACATTTTTGAGACAACGAAATTGGAGGTCAAAATAGATATTTCATATAATTGACAACCTTTAATAGCTCTAAATCCAAAATCAGCAGATAATTTATATTATCATTTCATGATTATAGTACAATGATAATTTTGAATCAACAAAATTAGAGATCAAATTTTAGTGTTATGTATATAAAATTGTTTGCATATGCAAAACCCCATATCCTGCATAGAAATATTATAAAAAAATAAAAGTTTATAATTTCATCCTGGAAACTGTAAATAGTATACTAATTAAAGGTCCGCAATCACGGCTCGGCCTGTACCCAGATCAAGCCCGGCCCTATGTTTCGCGCCAGCCTACGCGGAATTGGTTTCGCAATATTACCTTCGCTATAAAATTCCTTCGCGATAAACGACATTCGCGATAAAAGTTTCGCTGAATTGACCTGATACGTTTTAAATTTATGTCGTGTCCAAAACTTGTTTCAAAATTTTTAAACATTCAAAAGTTTTGAAATTTTTTTTTAAAAAAATAGTAATTTTGGGTGAATTGGATAGGGCCTAATATTTTTTCGAAAAATTTCTTATAGGCCGGGGTTATAATTTTTAAATATGATATCATTACATTTTGTAAATAAATGGGTATATTTTGTTCTTGCAAAGAAACAAAGGCGCTATATATTTAATTGTAGAATATGTTTTTATATTTAAAAAAAAAATTCGGGGCCGGAAGGACAAATAATTTTTATATCGGGTCGGGATTTTCGGGACAAATAAAATTTCGATTTTTTGAGCCGGGTTTTAAAAAATTATAAATACTAATATTTTTACTAACAACACCAAAAAATGGTTGATTAATTATACCTATTAGGAATATCTAACATATCCAAAGATTTTAATTCAATGTGATCGAACAATTTCTTTAAAAACTTTCTGTGATTATCATAATTATATCCATCTTAGCTTACGCCATCCTTTCCTTATTAAGGTTTAACAATTTTATTCTTAAAACTGCTGAGGGTCTGCAATCATTAAGACCTTTGCTTTTTTGCTACCCTTTCAAAGTACGATACGTCAAAAGTCAATATAAATAAATGAAATGGTGATAAAGGCAAAGGAGGCTCTATAGGTTGTTGATTATAAAATTCCTTAGAAATGAAAGAAGTATGTATTACGTTATAATAAAATCGCCTCAACAATTAATTACGCATATCGCCTTAGTCAAAGACGTAATATCTTACAAAATCCCGAAAATTTTTAGGATAATTTCCGTAAAAATTAGTTTATTTAAATTTTAATAAAATTCTCAAATAAACTATTTAAATTTGGTAAATGTAAATGCTCGCTCATTTTGTTTAAATCGTTTTTTGCATCTTAATAAATTTGATTTTGCCGAAAATATTTTCCAATATATATATATACACCTATCCGACAAGGTAACATAATACAACAAATGAATAAAATAAAATCTGAGCTAATCCAGCAAAATAAAATGAATGTGGGATATTTATTCCTATATTTAAATTTCCAAATTTCTAAGATATACATTTTACTAATAATAATAAATATTTCACAAATATGAGGGGTATCATAATCTATATATTATTTTAATTTTATAAGTTTCCTAATATCATACAATTTATTAATCAATAAATATAATATAATTCATAAAGTAAAATTAAATATAATAAGACGATAAATTCAAATGTTAGACTGTATCCATTCCAAAAACTTGCCAACGTCAGTATACACGCCTGGAAATCCCGGTTCCCCACAACCCACTCCCCAGCTGACAATTCCTGTCAATTTCCAATTTGTCCCAATTTTGCAAGCCATAGGACCTCCCGAATCTCCCTTTAAATAAACAAAAATGTTATTTTATAATTGAAATTTTTTTTAACTTGACACGAATCCTTTCTGCCGTCAGATACTCCAGCACATATCATATTGTCATCCACGATCCCCATGACATTTTGACACTTCGCTTTATTGACTACATTTAGACACACCTCACGCAGCCGATTAAACATAGGTAAAGATAAATCTACATTTTATTTATTTATTTAAATGAAGGAATGATGTTTACATATAATTCCAAATGGCCCGATTAATATTTTAGCCAAAAAAATATGGCTATTTAGTAACTAATCGAAGCATATTCTAATAAAATTTGAAAACTTTTCGTATCTCCCCATCCAGTTACATAACAGCCATATCCATCTTTGACTCTCTCTTCGGCACTGGGTAAGCATATGGGTTTGATCGCGTCGCCGTAATCCACTTTCCTTTCTAATTTTATTATACTAATATCGTTTTTGACAGTCGTAGCATAGTAATTAGGATGCTTGATTACAGATTTAGCAGGGATTTTTACGATGTTTGGATCTTTAAAATTATTACTCCCGAGGTATATAACTACGTCTTCCGAAGATCTTTTTAAAAAATTTTATTTTTAGCCCACTGATTATTTGCGACGAATTTCTCATTACAAAAAAACAGTAATATTTAAATGTTATACAATCTGAGTCTCATTTTTTCCCCCCTCTTCATAATTTGGGTATAAATTTATAGAATCTATAAGATTATGATTTTTAATTTAATACATGTTGACAGTGCAATGTGCGGCGGTCAATACAGTGTCCCGATTAATTAGAGACCCTCCACAAAATGGTTGTCCATAATATGTCAAAGCTACCTTTTTTAAATAATTAAAAAAAAAAAATATATAAATTCTAAATGTTTTTTTCTTCTTCCTATAAGCTTAAGCGAACTTGCCACGGCCAGGATAAAGGATTGGATTCCTGTCCCCCAAATATAGATTGACTTATTTTGGAACAGTCAGGAGCTGCGGGGACTTGTTTCGTAACGCCACACGTGACTTCTTGCTCGAAATGTCCATTGGCTGGAGTTGTTGGCTTTATAGGATCACATTGATTTGGTATTCTTATGGTTTGGGAAGCTTTCATATATTTTATAAATTAAAAGTTTCCCCCAATATTTGAAAGTATTATTCATTTATACCTGCAGAAAATTTCTCATCTATAGATTTCGCGAAATGGGTCACTCTTATAGACAAATAAAATAAGATGTAAATTTGATACATTTAAAATATTATAATAATTTTTTAAAGTTCAAATGTGTATATATATACTCTAGATATTATAACTTTTGCCAAAAAATTTAGCCCCAAAAAATGTGTAAAAGCAATATGTTCAAACATGACTTGATAAAATTGGCTTGTTAAAAGATCGATATCGTTATAATGCCAACATCGTATAGTGTATCATTACATATACCTTTCATATAAATATTTTTTTTTTAAATTAGTTGGAAATAGACTAGCAATATTGTATCCAATTTTATTCGTTGGTATTTAAATGGTAATGATCGATTTTATAGTAAAATCTAAATATAGTTGTATATTATCGTTCTTTCTCCATAATTTAGAATTATTAAAATTTTAATGGATTTTAAATATATATTTTTCATTTTAAACTAGATCACATATTAAAAAAATACGAATTTTAACGACCCAATTAGACACATTTTTGGTTGTATAAATTTTAATTAAGATAAAATTAAATCTAAACCCTCCAGCTCCAAACAAAGGCTGTATGGGCCTCTAAATATCGAAAAATAGGGCATATTGGGTGTTGTACATTTTATAATTTTGGATATCTTTGGGATTTAATTTTTTTAGAATATATTTCAGAGACCTGTAGGCCCGGCCCTAAGCCCGGACCGGATAACCGGGCCAGGCCTGAAAATTTTTTTTAAAAAATACCCGGGCCGGGCCGTAAAATTTTTTTAAAAAAATTCATACAACATGAATTATTATATTCGTCAATTAGATATGGTTAAAATGATTATATATAGTTATGATTAATATAATGTTGGGTGGAAAGTTAACACTAGCTAACGTTCATAGTATCTATTACATAATATAATTAATAGTTTTCCTGCCTTGGAATAAATACGCAAAGGATAATAGGTAATAAATACATTATTATAAATATAATCAGTTTTTTTTTTATAAATACAATTAATATAGTATATTCTCAAAATATTATTTACACAAATTTTTTATAGTATCAATTTGTAATATACTAAATATCTGTTTAGAATAATAAAAAAAAATATAATATATAATATAGTGTTGTTAAACGACACAGTATTTTATCCAGAAAAATATTACTCAAACCTCAAAATTTTGTTCATAGAAGGAGCAAAGGTCTAGATATATAGTTTAAAAATTTCAAGGCTTACTCAATATTTTTCTGGCGAAAATATTGAGTTAGCCGTTTTTAAATCGGCTCAAAACGAGCCGTTTTTTTAAATGATAATACTACCGAATGGGTGAATTTTTTGTATATACCAGGTCGAATATAATTTTAAGAAATTCCGAGCCAGGCCCTAAAAAAATTTTATTTTTAAATATCCGGGCCGGCCGGGTCGTAAAAAATTTATGGAAAAAAAATCCGGGCCGGGCCGTGCAGGTCTCTGGTAATGATAGACTTTAAAGTGAAATAATTTTAAATATTGTTAAAATATTATAAATGTCGAAAACCCCGAAATGGAAAAACAAAAATCATAAAATTATATCGGTAGTTTTTTCTTCAAATTATTTTTTAAATCAGATCATTTTTTTATTTTTTAAAAAAATAAAGACGGAGTATATGGTGATAGGAGGAGATGAAGAAACAGAGAGTATTGATATAAATGAATGGCAGATATGGGCAATTGAAAGCTGCAAATATTTGGGCTTCACTATACAAACAAACGGCACGATAGAGAAAGAGATAAAGAGTAAAATTAATCAAGGGTGGTTGAAGTGGAGATCTTTATCTGGAGTGCTCTTTGACAAAAGAATCCCACACAAATTGAAGAGAAAAATTTGCAGTTCCATAGTACAACCAACTATTCTATATAATTCGGAAACATGGCCAATTAAAGAATCAGACGAGAGAAGTCTACAAACTATGGAGATGAGAATGCTGAGGATGATTGTTGGGGTAATAAGAAAGGATGTAAAGTACAAGAATACTATGAGGTTAACTTATTGTAGGCCTTTGGCTATATTAGATTTTTATAAAAATAATTTTCGGTTTTCACTTCTCTTTTTTTTTATTAAAAAAACTTTTTCAAATTTTTCCTTATAAATGATATGTTAGCGCGCTACCGCTATCACTTGTCAAAAAAGTAGCCCGCTATTAGCTACTTTTTGTGAAATATATTTATCTTATTTTTTGCTTATAATAGTATTATAATACATAAAAATCAACAGTTATATATAAATATTTATAATATGATAAGTTTTGATTATAAAAAAAAATTTATATGTAAAAATAGCTATAATTTATGTAATAAAAATAACTATTTTTGGTAATATTCATTTTTTTATTTATTTTGTTGCATTAAAATCATTTCTATACTATCATTCCCAAGTCTAGAGCGACGATCAGAAAATATAAGTTTCGCCTAACTAAATTTTTCTCTCTTCTTGATCTCTAATAGCTATTCTATTCTCTATGTGATTTTTTTTCTAAAGAACATTCACTAATAGACACTAGTAGTTTCTATTTTAATAAATGTTTTCTGGCTCTAATTTTCCTGCCTGTATTTTCAACAGTTGATACTTTTTTTGTATTTTAAAGTCTATAAATTTTGAAAGGAGTAGTAGACCCCCTTTTAAAATTTATAAATACCCATTATAGATGAGCTCTGTCTATCCTAAAAATAAGAAAAATTATCAAAATTACTCATTAGAGTATTTTTAAAATTATCAATGACAGTCGTTTTTGTGGTTGTCTAGGGGTATCTTTGTTTGGCATAAGACCATTCAGCTTTACCATGAAACTATCAGGGGTATCTTTGTTTGGCATAAGACTATTCAGCTTTACCATGAAACTATCATGTTGATCTTTAACATCATCGGAATTGATATATGGCCAGTTTAGTTTAAAATTGGGATGAATCATTTATTTTATTTGTAAGTACATATTATGTCTGGCATTCCATTATCCTTCTGAGGGCGAATGCTACAGGTGTTCTTTTGAAGCCTTAGGGTCTGATCAATGGCCTGTGATTCCCAAATAAGCTCGAAAAATATTAATATCAGATCAATTTATAAATATAAATAGACAGGATATCTCTGATAACTCTGCTATTATCGCATCTTCAAAGTCTGCTATCTTAATCATTAGTGTCTGGTGACATAAAATTGTTATACCAGGGGATAGAGCTTAAATCATCAGGATAAATGATGGATTATCAACCAAGGGACTGAACTGTATCAATTATAAAATCGACAAAGACTTTATGAGCCAGTATCTGAGATATATTGACATGTGCAATATTATTAATCAATTTAGCTTGAATTGAATTGGTCTTTTTGGGTGTGGTCTCCCCTATACTAAAATTATTACGATGTTTTTCCTCTTTAAAACTGTTAGCATGAACATTCTTATACAATAAATACGATTAAAAATTTAAAAATGAGAAATTAACTCTTAGGTATTTTTGAGGTTGGATACTAGAATTATTTGAGGATATATTTTTTTTTTTACATTTTAAACAAATAAATTTGTAGCCAACTTTTGTTTATTTTTCAAATTTTGGAAATGGAAAATGTGTATTATTGTCATCAAGATCATTTTTTTCTTCTTCCAGAATACCTTCCATTTCCTTAATAGCATCAATGTCTGACTCACTTACATCAATTTGGCTAATCCATTTGCGACGACATTTTAAATAATTTACACCAGCTGATTTAGGTTGAAAATATAAATTTCAAAATTTAATAATAGATCCAATGACATATATAATACCTAGACTGACGATTCATTCATTAAAATGCGTTTTCAAGTGTCGTTAAAAGCAAATCAGCTGGACCCGCCATTTTGGTAACACGTATAGTATTTATTCTCATGTTAAAAAGTACTATTAAATTGATAACTTGCTTCCTTATCGATGATCCGGTAATTCTTTAATAAAGTTTGCATCAGATATAGGAATAAATTAGGCTCTCGTTTAAAATTTTAACAATGATTAGTGTAACTAAGATGGCGTCTCCAGCCGATTTGCATTGATGTACACATTTAATGAATGAATCGTCAGTTTAGTTATTATATATGTCATTAAATAAATCAGAAAAATTATAATTAAATTTTCATGTTTATAGTTATATTCATTTGATTTTTAAAATAAAATAAAGAAGCGCCCTAAATAAATTAATAATTGGGAAAATCACACTCTATTAGCTATCACTACCAAAAAAGATAGCGTGCTACAGTATCGCGCTATTTTGACAACTCGGTATTTTACATATTTTTTGGGGAGAGGGGTGTGTAGGGAAAATTTTTATAATAGCTTTAAATGATAGCGAGAACAGGCAAATTCCCATCCCCATTGGTGAGGTGGCTGAAAAGAAGATATCCTTGTTTGTTAGAAATAATTATTTTCAACATTATTTTAATTTCTTTATTTCTACTTAAGACTATAATTAAAAAAACATATATTTGATAATATATCCATTTTATGATGGTATGAATTATAAAATTGTACTATTTAATATATAAAATTATATTTAGATTTTTTAAAATAAATATGAGAGCCTCTAGATTTTCTGGCAATAAGCTTCTACGATATGGACTATCTATATGATTTTGCAGATAACGTATTTTGCAAAATTATCTTTGTCTTTTGTAAAATATTTCCATATAAAACTTTGGGTGTTCCTTTCTATTTTTATAAAAAAACTTTAAAATACTATAAATCTATATTTAAAAAAAGATTGGATTACATCCGGTGCAAAATTTTTTAGAAGAAAGTGATAGTACTGTATTTGTATTTGTACTGGTAGCTATTTTATTTAATCATGTTTATTTCTAGGTTTGCTCACATTCTAATTAATGGTAAAATTAATATAGCCAATATATCCCTCCCATAATCAAATTTTTTATTTAAT